CAAGCGCTCATGCAACCCCATACCATCAGTGATGCAGGCTTCTGAACTGAGCGTTGATAACAACTTGGGCTATCCTTGTCCTCTGGTCCGGATGACATGGCCTCCCAGTGTTCCATAAAGAACTTCAAATTGTGACTCATCTGACCACAGAACAGTCTTCCATTTTGCCACACTCCATTTTAAATGACCCCTGGCCCAGTGCAAACGTCTGAGCTTGTGGAACTTGCTTAGAAATGGCTTCCTCTTTGCACTGTAGAGTTTCAGCTGGCAATGGCGGATGGCACGGTGGATTGTGTTCACTGACGATGCTTTCTGGAAGTATTCCTGAGCCCATTCTGTTATTTCCTTGTCAGTGGCATTCCTGTTTGAGGTGCAGTGACGTTTAAGGGCCCAGTGATCACGAGCATCTGCACTATCTTTCTGCGCAACAATGGTGGAATTGGTGATCCTCTTACCATCTTGGCTTCTGAGAGACACTGACACTCTGAGAAGCTCTTTTTATACCCAATCATGTTGTCAATTGACCTAATTAGTATTAATTGGTCTTCCAGCTGTTCGTTATATGCTCAATTTCCTTTTGCCAGCCACTTATTGCTACTTGTCCCAACTTTTTTGGGATTTGTTGACACTGTGAAATTTTGAATCAACATATTTTTCCTTTAAAATGTTACATTTACTCAAATTAAACTTTTGATCTGTCATCTATGTTATATTATGAATAAGATATTGACATTTGCCATCTCCACATAATTTGCATTCAGTTTTTATTCACAATTTGTTTAGTGTCCCAACTTTTTTGGAATCCGGTTTGTGTGTGTGTGTATATATATATATATATATATGTATATATATATGTATTTTTTTTTCCTTAAACCCTCATTCTCCTTTTGACATTTGGAGTCGAGGGCAGGGAGGGGGTGTAGGCTGCCTGGTTGGGGTCTGGGCTGTGGGTGGGTGTTGGGCCTTGGGGGGTGATTCGGGGTGGGGCCGGTGCTCTGGTTCTCCCTGGGTTGTTTAGATCTTTTGATCAGGGTTCCTGGTTACAGTGGCCGGCCCTTTGGCTGAGGTGGCTGCCGGGTTCTGGTGGGGGATCGGCTGTGGTTGTGTGTGTGTTTGTTGATGGTGCATGGCGGCGGTCGGGGCGTGGCTTCACTTTGACGGGGTGCTGGCTGGTCGGCCTAATGTGACATTTGCGGTGGGGGGTGCTGTGTGTGTGGGGGGTGCATGGGTGGTGTGCCGGGCCTCTCCGTGCCTGTGGTGTGGGGCTGTAGGAATGCCTGATCATTGGTGCACTGGGCCGGCCTTCCTCAGCTTCTGCTCCCTGTTGCTGTGGCCCCCGGCCTGGGGCCTGCTTGCGGTCGCTGTCGGGTGGGTGGGGCGCATGGACGGCCCGACAGAGGCTCTGTCGGGCTGTCTCTGTGTGCCTGTTTTTCTCAGGTTGGGCTTTAGGTGGTCCCTTCTCTTGGATCAATTTTGGCCCCCCATTTGGAGTGTCGTGCTCCCCTCCGGTGGTGGGCTCCCCTGCCGCCGGTGCATTAGCGGCTCTCAGCAGCTGGGGCTGGGCGGTGGGGTGTGTGCGGGCCTGCCCTGGTGGCTGGCTGCCGGGGCCTGGGTGTCCTGGCTCTGTTGGGCCTCTGTTGGGTGTTGGTATGATCTCGGGACTCGGGGCTTGGTGTCCATGGCCGGATCCACTGTGGAGGGGCGGGTTGCCGGCAGGGCCTGTGGATTTGTCGCTGCAGCCTCCTGGGGTTTCTGCATTGTGGTTGCTGGGGATCACCCGGGGCTTCCCTTTGCTTCTCTCTCTGGGGGGTGCGGGTGTCCCTGTTGGGGGACTCCCGGAGTTCCAGGCTTGGGGACCGCTGTGTGTTTGTGGTTCCGGTCTTCCCTGTGTTACCATCGTGTCCTGTGGGGACGGGTCTGTGGATCCCCACATCCACTATTGAACATTTTTATGGAGAAACCTTATAGTGATAAGCATGCTCACAGGTGTTTAGATTCAGGTGTTTATCAGATACACACTCAGTTGGGTTGTGGTGGCCACAAAATATATCTTGTATTACCATGTACTGTATAAAATACTTTCTTTTTTTTTTTTTTTTTTGAACTCAGTTTAAGTGTAGAAACATTGTGAAGTGTTTCAATGAACTTATCATCATCGCTCAATTTTTTTTAAATTTTTTTATTTATATATATTTTTTTTTAAAGAAAGAGAAGAAAGAAGAAAAAACAAATAAATAAATAAAAGAGAAATAGATCAAACGAGAGACCACCACAACAAAACAA